ATTTATTATATTGAAATGTTGCTAGCTGGCAGTTTGGTTTTTATTACTTTTATGTTAAATTTAGGTCCCTTTGTTAAGCTGTCAAATGGCTTCCCTGGTGTGTAGAGTCAATGAGTTTATATTGGTACATTTATGGGTACATCCATTCTATGTGTTAATGTATGTGTCCTTTACAAATAATAGTTAAAAATTCTAAATAACATGACTTTTGTAATGGTTTTAAAGGCACTAAGGTAATCATGGATACCAGTCATTCAGACTGTTATTCACATACTCTGATACAGTCAAAAATTAATGCAGAGTTGTTAAAGAATTACTTAGACATGTACCACGGAGTGACTAACCCCAGGAGTAATAATACAGTGACACGTGTTTCTCTTTTCAGTAAAGATTCCATATATTTATGGGAGAAGATGTAATCTGTCAGGTGATATTCTTAGATAATGATTTTCATGTAGTATTTAAGAGCTCTGCTTTTCATTCAAACCTGTTTTGAAATGTTGAAGAGGTTTTTAATTCATGATCTCTTCTTTTGCTCTTTATGAAATTTTTCTACTGCTCCTGACATAGAATAACAGGCTCCACCTTCTCTGAGAGACAGCCAATCATTATTTCAATGAGTAAAAAAATAAATAAAAGATCCCTTTTATCCTTTCTTTACATCTCAGATTATTGCTCCCTGAAAACGTGTTGATTTTTCTTCATAATAGCAGAAGGGCAATTACCAAGAAGACAAAAAGAATGTATTTTATTTTAATTCAATAGTGTATATTAGTTGAAATGAAGTGCTGCCTTTGAATGGTGTTTTCAAGTAGTCTAAGAATCATTCTAAGCTCCTTGAGGTTTCAGGGCTCCTAGTAGCTGGCTTGCTGTCAGTGAGAGATGCTGTGCTCTGATGTTGCAATGATCCACTGCTGCTGATAATTAGCCATCATTACTCCCATGAAAAGGGAGAGAGAAAAGGGGAGAGGACAGGCCTGGGCTAATTAACTACTTCAGTTTAATGAAAGAAAGGGAGACAGATAGCAACTGGGAGGTTCTACAAGAACAGAGTAGACACACCACGTAGACTTAACTGTAACAAGACTATCAGTTTCATATTTAGAGAAGCATGGTTCTGCCTCTCAGTTCCCCAAAAGATTAGATGTAGCTTTGCAGATCCTCTGCCCTCAACCCTAAACTTAACTGATGACAAAATCAAGCACATGACACCTGATTTAAAATAAAAACTGGACCACTGGAAAAGATAAATATGCCCTTTGACATTTGTCCCGGCTATGTCTGAAGCTAAGGGGATCTCTCTGTCTCTGATGTTTAGATTGCTCTGTGGCCGAGGAGATACTGTTTGGTCACCAGGCAACATCAGCCTGCAACTCAGCCATTTTAGGTCTGGAGTGGGACCTGCACTTGTGAGCACACAGGCAGTCTGTTGAGCATCTCATCTGTATTTTTCCATACTGGCGCTCATTACTATTATTTTTTACTGAAAGGATCAGATATCTAGAAGGATAACATGATGAGTAACTGAAAGCAGATCTGAAAAAGATACAAAAATGTCCAACACTTATTACAACAAACTTCCAACCAATGTTAATTGTAAACAAGCATGACTAAGGTTACTCTATTTTATTCCTCTGATAGCTTTAGTTGAGTTTGGTTTTAGAAGCTTTCAATATTGATTAAGTTTTTATTTTTTGGAAGCAATTAGTTGAAATATACTTTGGATCTAAATAACCAAGACACATTCTACCACTTGAGTCTATGAATGGTAAATGTTTTTAAAAACCCAGAAAATTCATTAAACATTTCTATTAGTAATTTGATTAATGCGTTATCTTGTATTGTTAAAATTACATGAAAACACTAAGAAAATTGATCAACTCACATTATAGTCAGTCTCAAGCAAAGTACTGAATATTGAAATTGTATAATCAAATAATGTAACATTTTTCTTGACCCTATATATGCAGGAATAGACACTAAGGTCTAAATTTGGGTATATTTTGTTATGTTTCTTCCACTATAAAACAAAAATGAAAGCTCATCCAGAAAGGAATATGCATTATATTTAGTTATATCATTTTTAAATGATGATTTATTCAGTTCTGCAATCTGTAGTCTCAGAGTTCATATTGTCCTTGCTATGCATATTACTAATTAATTAGTGTAGAGTGATTAGAATGAATATTCATTGGCTAGGTTGTAAACAGTTACAGTTTTTGCTAGTTCTCTGACTATGGTTTTGGTTATAAATCCTTTATGTCACAGTAGAATGAAAGAAATAATACCTCACGAGGTCTGTATACACTTCCTCTTCTAATTCCATGCCTTAGTCTGTATATTAGGCCTTGATCTGGAATGTGCTACTGAAATCAAAGATGAGGAACCATGACAGCAATCTATTAAGAGGCTTGATGTCTGTGGCACAGGGAAAATGATAATCTCGGTCACTAAAATAGAAGCATGATTTTGCCAGGCTTTTACACTTTCGCCATGGTCATTGCTGCTGATAGCCAAGTACTGGGGGAGATAATACAGCATAAAGTTTTCAGGTTAAACAAGTCCTGAGAAGGAATATCAGTGATGTGGTTCATTTGCTGACTTTAGAGCTTCCTTGTAGAGTGAGGAATCAATCATCTATGACAAGTCCCTTGCACTATGTCTATGGCTGCTCTCAGAAAACCCTGGGTACCTTTACTCTAAAGGGAACACTGCATGAGTATTAAGGGGCAGGAGACTTGTAACAACAACTCCACTGAATATAAGGAAGAAAAATACCCTGTCAGTATATGGGGACTACCCCATACTTATTTCCTAACAAAATAGTTCTTGACTTATCCACTGTTCTTCCTTGTCTTAGTAGTAACCACAATGGAAGATGAGGGGAAGATTCAGCATGTATCCATTTTCCTTCTACAAACTTCTTGTCTAGCTAGGATTCTACTTTTCAAGACTTTACTCTCTAGACTCACTCCACAGATTGGATAAAAACCGAAGAAGCAAATACAGGAAAATGATAACAGAACTTTCAGGAGTTTCAATCCTGTGTCAGTATCATATGAAGATGTTTTCCTAAAAGCTGTTATACATGTTTATTGTCTAATTAGGAAAGATTAAGGAGAGTCTAGTATGTTTTTGGTTGCATATATTTTCACAATATTTGATGACAATATAAAATAAAATTAGTGGAAATGAAATATGGCAAGAAACATGGTATAATGGACAAGGTATAGAGTATAGATTTTATAGCAAGATTTAAATCCTGGCTGTGATATTTAAGAAGAGCTGTGAGCTACATAAAGTTT